AATGTAAAAATTATTCTTCATTATTTGTGTTTACTCTTCTCTTCCCTTTCACTTCCCTTTTTAAATTTTTGTGCAAAACAAGGCCATGTACATGAATATAGTGTACATATATTAGATTTTATTCACACAGCACAATATTTGCATACATTTAAAGTACTTTATTTTAATTATGTTTTGACAGCTACATATTAGCAAATATGAATATTGAAAACTTCTTTACCTATACTATTTAATAAAAAAGATAAAAGAAGATTTAAGAGAATAAATTTAGCCAGCATACAGGTAAATTCAAATCCCTTTTCAGCACAACAAGCTTCCTGACCACTTTCAATATTTGGCAATGGAATTCAGTAGAGTAATTATGTTACTTAAGTTGAATTACCTGTAAGCAAATTGAAAATGAAGAAAATTAAATTCATGTGCTATGAAGACTTCCACACAAATCTTTGCATAATTCTATTTAAATTTCATTCTTGTTTAACAACAATAGCATCCCTGTGAGAATACCTAAGAAAACTGTGAGGGGGAAAACAGTTATTCAAATTCTAAGCAAAGCAACTTATTTTGGGATATAGTTACACATTGAAATGCAGCAGTGTTGGGAATTAATAAAAGAAAGCCAATTATATTAAACAGATAAGCCTGGAACTCACTCAGTATACTATATCCCTTGGATTTGACCTCAAAATTTAATGCACACCAGGAAATGAGAATTTCAGCAGATGATAGGGTAGAAAATAGAGAGGTTCTAAGCCTACAATATAAATTGTTTAATTTGTTTGCTTGTTTTTGGAGGATAGTGATTTCAAATAGTTTAATATAATCAAGAAAAGGTGCGATTACATTTCTCTCATATACAAATAAAAGCTTATAAATATTGATTAATGACTTCTTTCTCCGCAGACACAAAACAAAATACCAAAGAGATATTTTAGTGAAGTGAAATAATTTTATTTTAAAAAGCTACTTAGAAAAATGGGCTGGAGTGATAGCACAGTCGGTAGGGCATTTGCCTTGCACACTGCCAACCCAGCTTCAATTCCTACGTCCTTCTCAGAGAGACCGGCAAGCTACCAAGAGTATCCCGCCTGCATAGCAAAGCCTGGCTAGGTACCCGTGACATATTTGATATGCCAAAAACAGTAACAACAAGTCTTGTAATGGATACATTACTGGTGCCCACTTGAGCAAATCGATGAACAATGAGAGGACAGTGCTACAGTGCTACTTAGAAAAATATGAGAGAAAGGGAGAGAACTAAAGGGCACAGGCTTCTTCAGAGTATAAAAAGCCTGTAGATTGGTTTCTGATGGTTGCTAAGAAAGAGCCTAAATTATTCTACATTTTCCTCTGATAATTTTTTCTTGCTTACCTTAGTGAAAATGCCAATAATAAAATTATGATTTATGGGGCCAGAATGGTAGTACAGCAGGTATGGTGCTTATCATGAGTGTAGCCAACACGGATTAGATCCCCTATACCACATATGGTTCGCTAGCCCCACTGGGAATGATCCCCTAATTCAGAGTCAGCAGAAAGACCTTAGCAGCACTAGGTATGACTCAAAAAAAAAAATAGATTGGGACTGGAGCAATAAGATAGTGGAGAGAGCACCAGAAGTGATCCCTGAGAGCAGTGAGCAAAAAGCCCTGAGCACCACTGTGTGCTACAAGACCCTCCCCATTAAAATAAAATTATGATTTATAATTAAGCACTTCATTTCAAAATGTATAAGTTCATAGACTATTATACAAGCAATTCATTAAAAAGACCCAATAACCAGACTTGTTCTTTTTTTTTAAATTTTTATTAGTGAGACATCATGAGGTAAAGTTGTAGACTTACAAATTTTTGTGCTTGGGTTTCAATTATACAATGATCAAATACCCATCCCGCCACCAGTGCCCATTTCCCACCATCACAGAACCCAGTATCTCTCCCACCCCCAATTCCCCCCCCAACCCACACTGCCTCTGTGGCAGGGCATTCCCTTTTGTTCTCTCTCTCTCTTATTGGGTGTAGTGGTTTGCAAAAGAGGCAATAGGTGACAATCATGTTTGGTCTATAGTCTACTTTCAGCATGCTTCTCCCATCCTGGGAGGATTCTCCCAACACCTTTATTTGGTGTTCCCTTCTCTATCTGAGCTCCCTTTTCCCCTAGCATGTGTGTTTGGCCTCCAAACCATGGAGTAAAATTCCTGGCACTAATCTTGGCCATTCTTGGGTGTTAGTCTCCTATTTTGTTACTTTATGTTCCCCAGATGAATGCAATTTTTCTATGTGTATCCCTTTCTTTCTGAGTCATTTCGCTTAACATGATACTTTCCATGTAGTACCACTTGTATGTAAATTTCATGACTTAGTCTTTTCTGACAGCTACATAGTACTCTGTTGTGTAAATGTACCAAAGTTTCTTTAACCTGTCATCTGTTCTCGGGCACTCAGGTTTTTCCAGATTCTGGCTATTGTAAAGAGTGCTGCAATGAACAAACAATTGCAGATGTCACTTCAACTATACTTTTTTGCCTCTCTGGGATATATTCCCAGGAGTGGTATTGCTGGGTCAAATGGGAGCTCAATTTCTAATTTTTTGAGAATCGTCCATACTATTTTCCAAACGGGCTGAACCAGTCGGCATTCCCACCAACGGTGAAGGAGCGTCCCTTTCTCGCCAAATCTGCACCAGCACCAGTTGCTTTTGTTCTTGTGAATATGGGCCAATCTCTGTAGTGTGAAATGATACCTCATTGTTGTTTTTATCTGCATTTCCCTGATGATTAATGATGTGGAGCATTTTCTCATGTGCCTTTGAGCCATTCGTATTTCTTCTTTATGAAAGTTTCTATTCTTTTCATCTCCCCATTTTTTGATGGGATTGGATGTTTTCTTTTTGTGCAGTTCAACCAGCACTTTGTATATCCTTGATATCAACCCCTTATCAGATGTGTATTTGCCAAATATCCTTTCCCATTCTGTAGACTGTCTTTGTATTTTGGTCACTGTTTCTTTGGAGGTGCAGAAGCTTCTTAGTTTAAAATAGTCCCATTTGTCTATCTCTGTTTTCACTTGCTTGGCAAGAGGTGTGACATCTTTGAAGACACCATTAGCTTCTATGTCATGGAGGGTTTTGCCAATTTTTTTCTCAATGTACCTTATGGATTCCGGTCTGATGTTGAGGTCTTTAATCCACTTAGATCTTACTTTTGTACATGGAGTTAGGCAGAGATCTGAGCCCATTTTTTTGCATGCAGCCATCCAGTTTTGCCAGCATAATTTGTTAAAGAGGCTTTCCCTGCTCCACTTCAATTTTCTTGCCCCCTTATCGAGGATTAGATGCTCGTATGCTTCGGGGGGAGATGTCAGTATATTCAACCTTGTTCCATTGGTCTAAAGCTATGCCTTTGTTCCAGTACCATGCTGTTTTAATTATTACTGCTTTATAGTAGAGTTTGAAGTTAGGGAGGTTGATTCCTCCCATTTACTTTTTCCCAAGAATTGCTTTAGCTATTTGTGGGGGCTTATTGTTCCATATACATTTCAGGAGTATTTGCTCCATTTCTTTGAAGAATGTCATGGGTATCCTTATAGGGATCACATTGAATTTGTACACTGTTTTGGGAAGTATTGCCATTTTGACAATGTTAATTCTCCCGATCCATGAACAGGGGATATTTTTCCATTTCCTCACGTTCTCTTTTATTTTCTGAAGCAGCGTTTTGTAGTTTTCTTTGTACAGATCCTTTACTTCCTTAGTTAAGGTGATTCCTAGGTACTTGATTTTCTGGGGCACAATTGTAAATGGGATTGTTTACTTCATGTCACTTTCTTCTCTTTCACAATTTGCAGATAGGAAAGTCATGGACTTTAGGGTATTGATTTTGTAGCCTGCAACTTTACTATACAAGCCTATTGTTTCTAGAAGTTTCTTGGTAGAGGTTTTAGGGTTCTCTAAGTATAGTATCATATCATCTGTGAATAGTGAGAGCTTGATTGCTTTTTTTCCTACCTGGATGCCCAAAATATCTTTTTCTTGCCTAACCGCTATTGCAAGTACTTCCAGTACTATATTGAACAGCAGTGGAGAGAGTGGACATCCTTCTCTCATCCCTGATCTTAGAGGGAAGGCTCTTAGTTTTTCCCCATTGAGACGAAGCTTTAACCAGACTTGTTCTTTGTTTTCACTTGAGACAGTTACTCCTACTGAGTTTTCAAAACATGATTCATAGATTTATTTTTAACTTCATACTATTCGAAAGGGTTTAATAAAAAGAAATCTATATCTGTGGATCATCAGGCTAAAAAATAAAACTATCTGTGTGAGAACCCAGGAATATATATTTTAGAGAATATCACAAGTGATGTTTTTTTAAAAAAAAATTTACCACTGCATACAATTTTGTTGATCAGTGTTTAAATAAAAATTAAAGAAATAAAATAAATTACATTACAAAAAATAGAGAAATAATTCTATGTCAAGTAGAAACTCTTAAGCGTGTATGTGAATAAATATTTGCAAGAGCATATGCCTTACACCCACGATCAATTCAAGATAGCACGTTTATCTCAACCTGAAACTACTAAGCAGATCCCTTTAAAAGCAATAGTACATTCAGTAGAAAAAAAAATAGCATTGTATTATATTTTCTTAAACATCATGAAATATAGATATAACTGTATTGTAACTGTCCCATATTTTCAAACATTATGTTTACATCTTATCCATGTTCAGTGCATTAAATCCTTATTTTATTTAATTATTTAACAATTGAATTCTGTGTATTTGGGTACTTTTCCAGATAATCTTGATGAACCATAACATTTTGTAGGGATTGGAGGGGATTTGCTTTAAGTACCCTACCGACTGTACTATTGCAACTACTATTGTACTACTTCCCTGAACTGTAACATTTAAAAAATCTTTCACTTTTTTAATACTTATCCTATAGTTTATCATATTAGCAGTCAATCAAAATGAGAATTTTCAAAATACTACCTCCTTGATCCTTTTCTGGTTGATAAGCAAAATGATTGGGAGTTTACATGCTTGTGTGACATGTACTTCCCTTAAATCTTGTTATTCAGGTCTTTAATCCATTTTGATCTGACTTCTGTGCATGGCATCTTCTAAGAGGTTCGAGTACAAGAACTGGGGACTGAATAAAGAAACTATGACGCTTACACAAGATGGATTAAAGACCTGAATATCAATCCTGAATTCATAAGATACATAGAGGAAAACATAGGTAGAACTCTGCATGACATCGAAGCCAAAGGAAATCTTAAGGATAAAATGCCACTGACCAGTCAAGCAAGTAGAAAATAAACAAATGGACTATATTATATTAAGAAGCTTCTGACCTCAAAGATAATGATGACTAGAATACAGAGACAGACCTATGGTTTGGAGAAACTATTTGCTAATCTATTAAAATGTTAATATCCAAGATATATAAATCTCTGGTAGGAGTCTACAAGAAAAATAAAATCCAATCCTATCAAAAATGGAGAGAACAGCAACTTAAAGAAGAAATACAAACGGTCAAAAGACATATGAAAAACTCTCTATATTTCTAATCTTCATGGAAATGCAAATGAAAACAACAATGGGATATCACATCACAGCAGAGAGACTGGCATTCATCACAAAGAACAACTGGTTTGGGCATGGATGTGGAGAAAAGGAATCTTCATTCACTGCTGGTGGTAATGTCAACTAGTCCAGGCTTTTGAGAAGACGATATTACATTACCCAAAAAACTAGGAATTGAGGATACCTGAGCAATAGTACAGTGAATAGAGTATTTACCATGAAGGGGACAGTCCAGTTTCAATCCTTAGCATCCCAGATGGTCTCCTGAGTATTGCCAAGAGTGATTCCTGAGTGCAGAGCAAGGAGTAAGCTCTGAGCACTGCCTGGTGTGGCCCAAAAACAAAGAAACAAACCTCAAACTAGGAATTGAGCTTCTATCTTCCGTATGACCCAGAAATTTAATTCCTGAGAATAAAACCCAAATGTCCAACAGCACAATCTACACTCCTATGTTCATTGCAGCACTAATCAAAATAGCCAAAGTATTGAAACAATCCAAATGTCCTAGAATATTTTTCAATTACTTAAAAAACACTCAATATTTACACATGTTTATTATCAATATATTTCTACCTGGCATAATATATACATCACATGAAAACATTTAGAAATTGTTGCTCTTCCTCACTCTTAATTACCTACTAGAATTATTAATAGAATAATTATTATAAAATAATTTTAGAAACTAAAATAATTCTTGCAAAAGTTGATTGGTTACATTCTGCTAGGTAACTAGATATCTCTTTGGATTTCTGATATATATATATAATATATATATACATACACACACACACATAAATATATATAATTACATAGTTATTTATATAGTGACCTATGAGGGTCAAAAGTATTTACTGCTGTTTTACTTTTTTTTGGTTCTGGGCCAATTTCAGCTGTGATCAGGGATTATCTCTGGCTTTTTGCTCAGGGATCATGCCTGACAGTGATTGGTGGATCACATCTGATGTCAGAGATCAAATAGCATGTAAGGCTAGAGTCAACTCCTTCTCTCTCTCTCTCTCTCTCTCTCTCTCTCTCTCTCTCTCTCTCTCTCTCTCCCTCTCTCTCTCTCTCTCTCTCCTTAAAGTCATTTTTTAAGACTTTAATGGTTTGGAGGCTGTATGTCTAGTACAGAGGGTAAGGCACTTTTTTTTGCATGCCTCTGACCCAGGTTGATCCCCCTCACTCTAAGACCCTCAAAATCCTTGATTGCAGAATTGCAGAGCCAGGAGTAAGCCTAAGCATTGCCATATGTGGCTCCCAAAGTCAAACCTGATAAAAATTTAAAAAGTAGTTCAATGGTTTAAAAAGTTTATTGCCAAGGATAAACAAGCTTTTGAGACTTTTGTATTCATGTGAGCACAGAGGTTTGTTTATTTTTGAGATATTGGGCAATTGAGGAAAGAGGAAAAATAATTCATTTGAGTGAATCAAGAAATATTTATGAGTAGAAACCTGACTGCTCAACCATTACCTACATTCATCATCTCACAAGCTTATACTGAAAAAATATCGATGGCCTGGGGATGCTTTGAGCACCTGCATTGCAAGAGTTTATCAGCAAGTTTAAACACAGGTGAAACCAGGTATACTGAGCATGATCTGCTGTCTGTGATTTTCAAAACTACAAGTAATTTCCACCCACATTACAGGTAAAGTTAGAAGAGTACAACTACAGCAGTGTGATCACCGCAACTTGTGAACATCATAATAAAAATGAGCAGGAACTTCGTCCAGGAGCAAATCTGTGTGCATATACTATAGCACTACAGTGATGCCTAATGTGCACTACAGCTAGAAGATACCCTAGATCCACAACCAGAGTGTGATTTCCAGCAAATATATATATATATATATATATATATGAAAGCACAAGTAAGGGAGTTCAACTCTTGCCAAATATCTTAGGTACGAGTACAAGCCTGCAAGATGAGACTCCCACAAGCATAACTAGCTGAAGCACTCCAGTATGTGAGTGACATCCAGTCACCACAACAATACAAAATGCAAATCGAGGAAAGGAATAGGTAAAATAGAATATAGTCTTTAAAAATAGCTAATATAAAACTGAATTGTAGCTTCCTGTCCTGTCGAGACCACAAGTTGCCCCCCACGAGCAGTTCTCTGGCACAGTCATGGACCCAGAGGCACACAGGCCTAATTTGGAACCCAGCAGCTTTTGGCAGAAATGTGAATGGACTATTCATTAAGCTACAGTGCCATACCTCACCAGGAGGGAAAGGGTGTCTGTGTATTCTGCCTTCCCTCCACCCTCACCCTGCGGCATGGTGGCTGCCGCCTCAGAGCTTATTGGACAGCCAGGTATGAGCCAGCAGTGACAGGGCAACTGCGGCCTCACGGGATGGCAGGCGAAACCAGCACATCCTTCTCACCCCAACGAGACCACGAGTTGCCCCCCCCACAAGCAGCTTTCCAACATGGCCATGGCCCCAGAGGCACACAAACCAATCTCGGACCTATGTGGCTTTTGGCAGAAATCCCTCCAGACTTAATTAGTAAAATATTAGGAATCCAAATCACGTGGCCACTACTGTGGCCGCACAACATCATATGGTCTTCATAACCAGCAATAGAAAACACATAATTTCACAATGTCTTTTCAGCAGGTCTGATTGTTGGGGGTAAATTCCAAATAATAATGGCGCATCTTTTGTCGAATTAATGAATGTAATAAAGTAGAGAGAGAGAGTTAAGTGGAAATCATCTGCCTCAAAGGTATGGGGAGGAGTGGGATGGGTTGGGAACTCTTGGCAAATATCTTAAGTAAGAGTACAAGCCTGCAAGATGAGACTCCCAACAACTCCGCAGTTGCCCTGTCACTGCTGGCTCATGCCTGGCTGTCCAATAAGCTCTGAGGCGGCAGCCACCATGCCGCAGGGTGAGGGTGGAGGGAAGGCAGAATACACAGACACCCTTTCCCTCCTGGTGAGGTATGGCACTGTAGCTTAATGAATAGTCCATTCACATTTCTGCCAAAAGCTGCTGGGTTCCAAATTTGGTCCGTGTGCCTCTGGGGCATGACTGTATATTGAGGTTCTTAGTGGTGGAAAATATGCACTCGTGAAGGGATGGGTGTTTTATGATTGAATGACTGAGACTTAAACCTGAAAAGTTTGTAACTGTTCTCGTGGTGGTTCAATAAATAAAATAAAATTAAAAAAACCTGAACTGTAATAATTTCAAATTAGTATAGTTCTATGGATGAAATAAAATATTATAAATATATATAAAAATATTTAAATATAATGTTATTTTAGAAGATCATGCCCCCACCCAGGGGCAATAAGATAGTGGGTAGGCCACTTGCATTACATAGGGCAGACCTGGGTTTGAGCCTTCACATTGCATATGGTTTCTTGAGTCTCACCAGGAGAGATTACTGAGCACAGAAACAGGAGTAAGTCTTGAGCAATGCTGGGTGTGCCCCAACATCCCACCCCCCCCCAAAATGAACATCACATTCTCACAGTTTTTGAATATTTTTATGAGTTTGCAATCTCAAAGTCACTGGGGTATTGAAATAATATATGTGAAAATTTAAAAGTTTGTCTATAAATGTACGCCCACAGGTTCAAATTCCATTTGATTACCTGGGGATTTTTTATCTTTGCTATACAATATAGTAACTTCTTTCCATCTTGGTGCTTCCTAGTTGCTAATAATATAATTCATTCACTTTTAAATATTTAAATCTAATCTGTTTTTCTCCCTATCAATTTTCTGTGAATCGATAACAGGACTTGTTGAGGCTTCTAGACATTTTTAAATTAATGACAAAATACAGCTGATGTTGGGTTCCATTTGCTGTGTTTTGTTAGCAAATGTATTTTAAAGATTTTATAGCTAACATAGCAGGTGTAAACACAAATGTTTGAAGATCACAGCTAAAGGACTTAAGGGCTTTTTGTGTTTGTCAAAGAAGAGGATATATTTGCATTTTCTTTCTATAGAAATGTTTGCTTTACAGCATGACAGAAGAGGTCACAAAGACATAAATCAGGAATGTTACTCAATGTAACAGGTGTGACCTAGGACCTTTGGTCTCCATTTGAAATTTCAGTGGGGAAAGTGATTCACCATACACTAGTACACAGTATAGTCAAAAGTGTCTTTGAGAGTCTATGTATTTTCAGAAATAAATAATTTCATTTTCCTTTCTTCTTTGACTTCCCCGTTGGTTTTTTTTTTATAATGTAGGAGTACGCTATTTACTCAGCCATTGGTTAAACTGATTGAACTGGGCATGAACTCCACAGCTTCCCAATTCTTATTTTGCTTTATGTCATCTATTGTATCTTCCTGAAAAATTCCATTTTCCCTGTTCTAGAATATCTCCACTATTTTTTTCTTGTTTCCATGGTATTTAGTAATTAAAAAGCCTTGAGTTTACCTTGGGCTGGAGCGATAGCACAGTGGGTAGGGCATTTGCCTTGATGTGGCCAACCAGCCTACCCAATTTTGATTCCTCTGCCCCTTTTAGAGAGGCCGGCA